AAAGCTTATTTTTTGCGTTTTATAATAAAGCATTTTTATAACCCTAATTAATTAATCCGGTTATAATTTAAAATTTAAGCGTTATTTTTAAAAATAATAATCCTATATATATTTTTAACTTAAAAGCTTTAATAGCTTTTAAAAAGATATTTAAATAAATATTCGATTTTTAATCGTCGGGATAGCTAGTTTTTTCGTTATTTTCGAGCTATTTAACGATTTATATTAGGCTATTAGGAACCGTATTTTTAGCCTTTTTACCCTTTAAATCGTGCAAAATTTATTAATTATTATATATATTTTATAAATCTAGCCTAACGAATAAATTATTTTTAATATAGCTTAGCTCGCTAATTTCGATTTTTTAAATAATATTATCGCGTTTATATTATTAAATAGCAAGCTTTTTTTTCCGGATGCTTTTTTTATAAAACCGTATTTTATTAAATTTAATATTACGTATTATAATTATATTTTTTATGCTTAAAACCCAAATTTAAAAAAGGTTATTTATATAATAACTTATTAAATAGCCTAAATAAGCTTTATATTCGGTTTTTTATCGGGTTAACTTTAGGTTTCGTTCCCGATTTTTAATTAAAAAATAATACGCATATTTATATACGTATATTAAGCTTTAATTAGGCCGTAAATTATCGGTTAAAGCTTTAATTAATTCTGGTATATATTATCGAAAATATCCCCGAAATTAGGAATTTAAAATTTTATTTAAAAATTTAAAGCTATTTAATTAAAATAGGCTTATATTATATAGGTATATAACGGCTTTAAAAGCTTTTCTTTATAAAAGCTTAAGGAAATTAGCCGATTAAAGCATTTTTATAATTTTTTATTTAATCTCCTTATTAGCCTTTTTAATGCTTTTATAAAATTTATAAATATAAAAAGCGCTAATCTCTAGCTTAATATTTTCCCGTCGTATTTAGCGCTCGAAATTTTTTTTTTCTTAATATAATATTAAAAAGCTTTCTCCGTCGAAAAATAATATAAAAATATTTAATTTATATTATTTTTTTATTATCGTAACGAAATTTTAGATTATAAAAATAACTTTTAAAGCTTTTTTTAATTATAGCAAATATTTAAAATATTTTTTAAATTATTTTTTTTAAAAATAAGCATTTTAAAAAACCTATTTAAAGCTTTCGGGTAATAAATTATATCGATTAAGACTCGATAAAAAAATTTTATAAGCTGGTATTTTCGAGCTTTTTTAAAAATTATTTAATTTACGGAAATTTAAACGCATATTTCGTAATCGAATTATCGTATTCCTTAAATTTTAATATTTTTCGCTCGGTATATTAGGTTTTGGAGTATATTTGCTCCTAAATATCCTAAGCGTAAATACTAGAATTTTTTATTATTAATTTTAGGCTTAATATAATTTTTTAACCGTTATAGTTTTCGGTAGCTAATACGCTTAAAAGCTATTAAATAATAAAAGCTTACGTTTATTTCGGAAAAAATTTTAAAAAAGCAAATAATAAATTTAATATATTAAAAAAATATTAGGTTATATTTTTCTATAAATCTAATAATTACCTAATTTTATTTTAAATTATTAATTCTAAAAATAGCATTAAAATTATATTTCTAAACGCCTTTTTCTTTTAATTTAATTTCCGATATAATATTATAATAAAAATTAGGAATATAGGCTATATTAATTAAAATTAATATTATAATTTAATTATTAAAACCTTTAAATACGTTTTTAATAATTCTAATTCCGTATTTTTTAATAAATAAAGCTAAAATTCTAATTTTAATTACGGATCCGGTTTTATTAGGCCTAAAAAAGCCTAAAACGAATAATTTAATATTATTAATAACGTAAATTAAGCTATAATTATTTAAAAAGGTATTTTCGTATAAAGGGTATTTAAATTAAATAATAAAATATACCGCTGGTTAATTATTTAGACCGACGATATAAAGATTTATAATTATAATATTAAAATTGCTAATAAGCTAAAGGCTAAAGGTTTTAAACGGATTTTATTAATTCGTAGCTTTAAATTTTTAGTTTTTAATCTAGCTTTTTTTTTAGGTTATTTTTTAAAATTTTATATTTATTATATTTAATTCGAGCTCGAATTTTTTTTAAAGCTTTATTATTTAATATTTTAATAATACGCTTAATAAAGCCCGTAAACGTATATTCTAAAATAAAATATTATTTTAAAGGCTATCGGTAAGCAGTTTTTTTAAAAGCTCGATATAAGTACGTAATATTTTTATTAGGGTTTCCGGAGCTTTTTAAATTAGAAGCCTTAAAGCTAGAGTTATCGGCGTTAAAAGCGGCGAAAACCCGTTATTAAAATCGGCTAATTTTATTTTTTAGGTATAGATTTTTTTAAAATATATTTCCTAAATTTAAAAGCGTAAAATTTTCGGAATATAGCTATTTATTAATTTTTTTTTAATCGATATTCTTTATTCTAAAAGGATTTTATCGTTAACGGCGTTTAAAAAATTATTTATAGCGAAAAGACCGATTATTATTTTTGATTTATAGCGGCGCGCTAATTCGAATTTTTCGTATTATTTTCGGTATTAAATAATAAGGTTTTAAGCTCGATTAGCTTTGCTAAATACGTTTTTATATTTTTTAAAAATTTATTTTAAAAGATTTTTTTCGGTTAAAGCTATTAAATTTTGGAATATATAGCAAAAATTCCGAATAATATAATTATTTTAATTTAAAGCTTTTATAAATATAATAATTTAAAATTTAGTATTTATAAAATTTTGCATTTATTTTTTAAATTTATTAATATACCGTTAAATAATAAGTTTTTTTTTGAGGTTAAACGCTTAGGTTTTAGATTTTTAAAAATATTTTTTGAAAAGCTTTTTTTAGCGAAAGAGCTCGGAAAAAACAAATTTATTTTTTTTAATATTTAAATTTTTTTTATTTTAATCGGAAATCTGCTAAATTAAATTATTTTCGAATTAATATTAAAGCTTAAATTTATAAATTTTTATTAAAAAAGGCTATTTAGCTTATAGCTATAATTTCGTCGATTTAGGATTAATATAATCCTAAATAATATTTTATTCCGAAAAAAACCGGTATTATAAAAACTAAGCTATTTAATTTTTTTAATAAATAAGCTTAATTTTAACCGTATAGCTTTAGGTATCGAAGCTTATATAAAATAATATTTTTTATAAAAAAATAGGGTTTTTAATATTTTAATTTTAAAAATCGAGTTTAAAATATTAGTCGGAATTTTAAAGATTGGGTTTTAAAGATTAAGTTCCGCTAGCATTTTACTAAATAATATAAATATACGAAAAATTTAATAATAGCTTAGCTACGTATATACCGGGCTTATAATTATAATAATTAAAAAAGCTTATAATTTAAGGTTTCGATATTATTTAATAAAAGCGGTATATAGGCATAAATAAATAATTAAAAATAATCTAATTTTATATAAATAAAATAAAGGGTAGGTCGTATTTATATATTTATTTAGGAGCTTTTATGGAGCTTGACTAGTCTAGTTTAAAGATCCCCTTAAGAATTATAAATGTATGGAGTGAATATCCCGTCACAAATCTAGGATCGAAAACCGATATAAGCGGCTACGCTATTTCGGCTATATATTTAATTTAATCGCTAAAGCCTTATTTAATAGCAAATTTAAAAATAATTTAATAAAATTATTTTATAACGATAAAAATTATATTAAAATTAAATATAATTTATAATTTAAAATAAAAGTCGTTAAAAAGCTTTACGATATATATTCCTTTATTTGCAATAATTTTTAGCGCAAAAAGGAATTTAAAATTATAGCGGCTATATATAAAGGAACCGTAAATTTAAAAATTACGGATTTAGTGCTATTAATTAAAAACGCTACGCGTTAAAACGGCGTATATTTAATAATTTAGCGCGTATTACGCTTAAAAATAATATTTAATTATTAATTTAGGTAATATAAATTACGCATTTATTTATTTATAAAAAAATAGGAAACTTTTATTTAAATAAAGGCGATTTTTAAGCTATTTTATAATTTAACGATTAAATTCGAAGGTAATAATTATTTAATTAATAAAATTATATTTACGTTTATATATATAATTAATTATTTAAAAGGCGTAATAATAAATTTTACCGATTTTACTATTAGGAATTACGGCTTTACGCAATTAAATATAGCTATTATAAATAATAATTTAATAAATAAGCGATTTAGCCGTTTACCGGCGCGATATTAAAATAATTTCGTTAGCGCGCTATTTATATAGCGTAAGTGCGTAATTAAAATTATTAACGAAGATAATAAGCTCGGCTTTCGCTTTATTTATTATTTTATTAAACGCGTTATATAGCTTATCCGCAAATATTTAAGGATATTAGGTAAATTTAAAATATATTAGGCCGCTTATATTTTAAATCCTAAATATAAAATAAGCTAAATTAAATATAATAAAAAAATTAAAAAAATCGAATAAATTAGGTAGGATTTAAGTTATTTATTTAGTTAGTATTAAAAATATTTTATAATAACAGCGCTATTAATAAAATTTCCGAATTCGTCGTTTAGGTCGGATATTACGGTATTCGAAAATTATTTAAATATAAAGCTATTAAAGGATTAGTTTTCTAATTAGCTAAACGAAATCGTAAAATATTTGCGTATATTTATAATTAAGGATTATAATTTATTAAAATAATAAACGCGCTATAAATACGTATTTTTAGGCTTATATTAAATAATAATAAATTTATTATTAATTCCCGCGATAAACGCCGAATATAAGCGCTTATTTAATTAAGGTAAATTAATTTTATTATAAAAACGAATAATAATAACTTTAAAATATCTAAAAGCTATTATTTATAGCAAAAAATAGGCGCTAATACTAGGTGACGATAATATAATATAATTAGATATAATATAACGAAAAGTTATTAATATTAGCAATAATGCGGACGCGTAAAATTTAATAGCTAATTAAAGGCTATTATAGTAATATATATATTTTAAATTAGGAAATAAATCCGGGTTTTAGTTATTCTAAGCTCCGTAATTAATTAAATAAAATCCGTGCATATATCAAATTAAATTTTATAAATAAATTAAGCAAAGGGGTCGGATTTGGCTTAACTTGGCCAAATAAGGCAAGTAGGGGGTCCGGACTTGATTTACTTGACTTAGTCCCAGCACTGGCATACGATATCGCTTGGTGGCCCCAGCAGATACCAAGCAGTTTGGGTGCGGAACTGTCGGCGGCACTCTTCCTAATGTATGCGAGTGTGTCCTCCACCCACGATGGTTTCGGAGTCGTATCCAACAGGTTGAACCTGCCACCCGTGAGGATGACCAAGTCATAACTGGCGAGGTCGGGGAACGCTTCGCCTTGAATTGGCCTGAACACCGACACGGCGGCATCAGGGTATGAGTGGTGGATAAGATTCGTCAGACTGCCGCTGATAGTGGGGCCTGGACGAGCACTGTCGGCATAATTCTGAAGAATTGCAAACTTGTACGGTACATTACTAGACCCCATAGTTTTCACCAGAACAGATATCGAACGTTGTGGCTGAAAGTAGTAATTAGGTTTTACTATCTGGATGTGTTATATCCAACTCGGGTGTAGCTTTGTCCAATACTCGGTCTTCAAACCGGCGCACGCTTGGGCTTAGCGGCTTTATAGGTGCTTGTTATATCCGTTATCTTTGGTGCGGAGACGAGACTTCTGCCCCGCGCACGTATCTCTTCAGTATCAGTAAAGCGGACTTCGGACCAGAAGGCCGACAAGTTATGCCGTCACGAAATACCCAAGATAGGATCTCTCTGGTAGCTCGTATGACTGGTCTGATAGTATCGCACTGATGGCCGTTTCAGGATGTTGCCGACGTGCGACAAGTTACTTGGGCCGACCTATGGCTCAATCGGTATAACGCGGTAGAAAGGATCTTTCCTAGAAGCTCATAATGATACTGTTCGGTCACCGATTTAAACCCAAGGAAATACGCACCAGCCTCGTGTAGCCGTAAAGGAAGCAACCAGCCCAGTGTAACGATGTGAGTTGCTGCAACTCACCCTCAACCCCGTGATACTCTCTGCTGATCGCTTCAAGGCCGAAAGCTATGGGGTCTGAGAGTCCTAAAATCACGCCCGCGGTCCAGCCTGCGGCGTCTATACGCGGTCTTGAAGTTGAGAAGCCAGTTGGAAAGCACAACGATGTAGGCCTGTTGATGTATGAAGAGTCCCTCGCCATGGATCCCGAGTTGCGTGATCGGCTGGCGAAGCGGGTTCTTCGTAAACTAGACTATGGGCTCCTCCCTGTTGTAAGTAACCTGCAGAAAACGCCAAAAGGAACCACTGCATCCATGCATTCTTGTTTCTAACACGATTGTCAGATGTGCATCATCTACCTCACATCGTTTCTCGACAAGCAAACCCTCAACTACGCCAGTGCCTACAGTCTGAAGACCGACCTAGGACTCGTCGGCACCGAATACTCGTGGATCGCAGCCATCATCAACTTTGGTATCCTCGCCGGCTCCTACCCGGCGTCACTCGCCCTCCAGCGCTTTCCCATCGGCAAGATTGCTGGCGCTATGCTTATATCATGGGGCATCCTCAACATGTGTTCAGCGGCAACCAAGAACTTTGGCGGTTTGATGGCTATCCGCTTCTTGCTGGGCCTCTGCGAGGCGAGCATGGGGCCGGCTTGGATGTTGCTGACGTCCGTCTTCTGGACCCGCAGAGAACAGCCCTTGCGCATGTGCTTCTGGCTTGGCTGCAACGGTCTTGCCTCAATGCTCGGTGCTGGCATCTCTTGGGGTCTAGGGCACAATGACAGCACTGCTGTCAAGTCATGGCAGCTCATATTTCTGGTAAGTAAAGAGGCATGGGCGAGAAATATTCATTAGACGACCCTCATTTTAACTCTGCATCAACAGACCATCGGAGCCTTCACCTTTGTCTTTGGGGTCCTCGCCGTCTCTTTCCTCCCATCCGGCCCACACGACGCGTTCTTCCTCTCCCACGAAGAGAAATTGGTCGCCGTTTGGCGCGTCTCTGAAAACAAGACCGGAATCAAGAACCCAAAGATCATGCTTTACCAGGTTAAAGAAGCCCTCATGGAGCCGCGAGTGTGGCTCTTGGCCATCCAGCAGCTGTGCATTGGCATTACGAACGGGGGCATCAGCAACTTCACGAGCTCACTGCTGCTGGGATTCGGTTTCAGCAGCTCAAAGTCCCTGCTGTACCAACTGCCGAATGGCGCCTTCCAGCTCGTCTGCACCATCGCCGCCGGCGTCGTCACATCCTCGATTCCTAACAGCATCGTGATCACCATTGCTATTTGCCAAATTCCAACCCTCGCTGGCGTTGTCGGCATCAGGCTCATTCCCCTAGAGCACCAGGTACCGCTCGCTGCCTGCTGCTGGCTCTTTGGATGCATGGGCGGCGCTATTATCCTCAACTGGGCCATCGTCGCCTCCAACTTTGCCGGGCACACCAAGAGAATGACAGTCAACGGCCTCAATTTCGTTTTCTACTACGGTGGTAACATCATCGGCCCGTTCCTGTTCATCTCGAAAGAATCACCCAAATACCCAACCGCTGTCTCAGCCATGGCGTCCCTCTTTTCAATCTCGATTGCCAGCTCTCTGTTGATGGGCTTGCTGATGGCGCTGGAGAACAGGAAGCGCGACAAGGCGGCCCGCGCGGCCCAGCAGGATGCGGACGCCATGAATGAGCCTGATTCTGGGTATGATGGGTTTACTGACCACACGGATAAAGAGATGGCAGAGTTCCGTTACAAGTGGTAATGCTGAGACCATAATGTCTTGAGAAATTGGGCTGAACTCCATAATTTGTGGCTCATCTGATTCATTTGGCGGAGCTCCAAGGAAATAGATCCCCACCCAAGTCCAGACCCAGCAGTAGCATGACACTGCAACCCATAAAAGTGACTATGCCAAGAAGTGTGCAACAAATGCTGATTACGCCGACTCTACGAGCTATCAATCGGACCAAATCTTCAGCTTGCGGTATGATTCGTGCCACTTAGAATGCAAAATTTCCAGTGAATCGTTTGGCTGGCAGTGATTTATCCGAGGTCTGTAATAGTAAAAGGCGCTTTTAGGATCCGATACTACGAAGATGCCCAGTTGGCAGGAAAACAAACATGTTGGCGCGCTCAAGAAGACACTCCGTGGGGCTGACTCCAAGGCATGCATCAGCCCCGAACCCTGCCCTCAGTTGGGCTCTCAACAGCCTATAACCGCTCAGCCGAGTTTTAGCTTTTATGCCCCGATTATTGAAATGGAAGGAATTTAAAAGCTTGATCCTAATTATTATGCTTAATTTGTGGATCTCACGCGGTCTACCGCGAACGGGACTCTACCAAGTATGGGAAACGATTATTTGTATTACATGGGTAAGTTATCCAAGGAACCGAATGCTATAGCTACGCGATTTGCTTAAGCGTTATAAGCCACCGCCGCGCAAAAGCCTGTTCTGGTGCAGCGCTATCGCCTCAATCTCCCCTACATTACTCTAAGGTTACATGGCTAGGACTTATTGCGTCCATTGTCATTGGCTGCAATAGATCGGCCACAACTTTGGGATCCGTGAGAGGCATCATACTTGCCAAGAGCGCATGTCCCTGGCCCTCCAAATCTTTCAACATTTTATTAATTAATCCAACAATCTGCCCATTGACGGGCTCCGAGTTCAAGCATGCCGCAAGATGATAGCCGTTTGTGATTTCTGGCAAGATTAGGCCCAGCGGTGGAAATGCTTTAACCAAGTCATCAAGGATATCACTGGAAAGAGACCAGTCCTTGACTGAAGTTGCCAGAGTCGTCAACACTGCCGAAATCTTGGGCTTGGTCAGATCGACCGACACACGTGCCAGAGCCGTTGCATTCGTGACGGCGAGACTTCCAGAAGAATTGAGAGTCCCACCAAGAAGTGATACAGACCCAGAGGCTGTAAGGGAGGTATTGATGATGATGGTTGCTGAAAACATTCCAGAGTGACCAGGCGCTTGAGCGCCCGTGTTGCTGATTGATGCATAAGAGCAGTCAAGACTCGAAATTTCCATTTTTGTCAAGGATACTTTGATGTCTCCGGGCAGAGGAACGGTGATCGGCTTTGCAGCCAGCAAATTCAAAAACTTCTCCACGTTTGACCGCAGATATGCATCAATGTACGATGCCCAACCACCAGGACCAGCGAAGAACATAAAGTTGAAGTCGACGCCAGGTGTAAGGAAATTGGCCGGTGCTAGTACACCGCCGATCTTGCCATCGTTGCTAGACCATGATGCATCCGTCTTGTACAAGCCAGTACCGAGATTGACTGCGGCGGTTTCGCCATTGAAATTCAGAGTAAAGGCAGATTGATCCAAAGACCAGTCTGAAGTTTCGATATGCTGGGGCGAGCTCGTCGATAATGCCGGGATAGTCTGATCATCGGGTAGGTCTTTGCCCATGGCAGTTGAAGAGGTCTTCTTCACGGTGAGACTGGTGGGTAAGTCATTGGTGAAGGTGACATTAGCGTCTGTGACACCCATTGTGTTTGTCGTGGAAGGTATGGCGAACTGGATCTATAGCTGCTCTTGTGTTTAGAAGGACTTGAGTAAAAATGGAAAGCCTACACTGATCCACTGGGAAAGATAGAAGATAATGGCCGCCTTTTTTATATTTAAAATTCCGCCACTCCTCGAGCGGTTGTTATCAAAAATGAACCCCAGAAATATCCCTCAACAAAAAGATCTCGGCCAAGCACCACATGCATAGATGATACGAGGTTAATTGTAGCGAGCTGAAGATATATCAAACCTTCGAGATGGTTCTCAGCTATCATTGGGCCAACTGCTGAGGATGATCAATAGCGCTAGTGTTTCTGTGGCTGGCTGAACGAGCAATGTGGTCGTTTTGTGATTATAGATGTATCATTATGTCACGCCCCGGGAGCCATTTTAATTACCTACTCAGCCAATACGAGTGAAACCCACTGCTTGGCATATGAAAGGATTGGGCGTCTGGTGTTCGAACCTTAACTGCAGGAGCAATGGGTTGCATCAGTTCATGTAAAACCAAGGTGCGCGTGACTGAGCCTCGCTTTAGCAAATGATTATATATCATAATATTCGTGCAGGCACCAGGTATAACAGAGAAAGGCGACTATAACCACTATACATGTCTTATTGAATTCTTCATACCAAGCCTCATGACTCTGGCAACGATTACAATGCATTGAGCTTCTAAACTAGAATCTTATGTACACTAAGTTCATCTTTACAGCAAGGGACAAACATTGACACGTCATTCAGAGTTTCTACGATTTAATGACCTCAATCTCCTGGTAATTGTTGTCATCGGGAAAAACCATATCCTCGCGAATGATGATCTGACTTGTGCCCTTGGTTCCGGCAACCTGACCCGAGATATGAAGTGCGAGACCATAACCCGGGCCTAAACGAATGATACCCTTGGCATTTGCATGACTCTCCTGGTTTCTTATGTCAGCTGACTCGGATTTTATCCCATTAATTCGATTGTACTCACAAGTCTAATATTCCATGATGTCCCTCCTTTGCCCCGAGGGCTGGGCTGCAGAAATCCTGCAACGTCACTATTGAGTGTGACATAGACATTGCCTGGATTGTCACGTTGGACATCATTGGCGGCGACCATCTTGAAAGCGCTTTCTTGAAAGAGACTCGCCTCTGCAATATCAGAATCATCGTCACCGTTCAAGAACGTGATGGATATTGAGTGTAACTCCATTATTGAAGTCGTCTTGTTCAAGGCTTGGATAACGAATGGAACAGGTCGTCCTCCTACTCCAACATTTGAAGGTATAGAGTATTCGAGTAGGGGTCCTCGCTGGTCGTCCCAGGTGGAAATGAGAGGCTGTCCTACTTTTTCAATGAACTCCTCAAGAGGCGTCAGCGGCGGCTTTGGTGGATCCTTTTCCAACACGAATATGGACATGAATATCATGACCACAATTCCGATAAAAGCCAGTACAGCCCCGACAATCGGCAAACTCACGACCATTAGTGAGTCTGCTGCTGCAACATTCGACCAGATGAGTGCCTCGACGACAAGCTCACTGGCGAATATACTTGCTGTCGTGACTCCGATTTGAATGATTGTTAGAGCCTTTCCGGTATTCGTCAGATTGTCCCAGCGGTTCTTCAAATCAATGGTCATGCTGACGACAATCACGATACTGAGAACGATCGTGATGCCAGCAAACACCCTTCCAGGCAGGTTGAATTGCTTGTAGACTTGCTGAAGTTGTGGGGCCAACTCCTCTGTCATACCGACGGGGTAAATCTCCCAGACGTCGATGAGAGTGCCTTTCGGAATTTCAGTGCTTCTTGACATGGGATACTGCCCCAGCTTTCTCCCAATGGCCTCGCTGATGACATCGCCTTTACCCAGCGACTGACCTTTCTCGGCAATGAATTCGACGTATCGCGGGATTCCACTGAGAGTCTCCTCATCGATAACTTTTGCAACGGCTGCTTCAAATGCTCGATTGGACTGGGTGATTTTATATCCCTGATATATGTCCCATACTCTTTCCGTCACGTCCAGCATGAATTGTATCGTCCCGGTAACAACGATAGTCTGTCCAAACGCTTCCCCAGACCAAGCCGAGTAACCATTCGTTGCGTCGTAGAGGTATAGACCTACAAGAATCAAGGACCAAAAGCCTTTCAGGCCTGCCATCTTTCCAGATCCTGACGGTGCAAGTCTGCCGACAGTCTTATCAAATGCTTTTGAGACCCAAGACCAGAGGGTTGTGCCGGCACTGCGAAGTGACGGCAGGGCAAGAGCATGTATCCCGCCGCTCTCCGAGTCTGCAGAACTCCCAGAAAGCGGGCTTTTCATGCTACTGAGCAGTTGAATAACATCAGCCTGTGCTTGAAGCAACGCGGCGGCTCTGGCCTTTGGGGAACCAGTCGAAGTCAATCCATAGTTTGATTCAGCCGTGGTAATGTCCTTGGCAAAATCAACCCTCTGCTTGTCAGAAATGGTAAAATCAGTGTTGGTCTTGTCCAAGACACAAGATACAAGTTTGGAGAAACTGGACATGATCCATTCTTCCGTCTGTGAAGCAGCGTCTTTCGACGTATCTGCGTATGGACTTTGCAGCATCTGTGATAGACTATGAGCCCAAATCTGATGGCCCAGATCTTGTGCGTACAACCCATTTTTGCCGTCAAGGGTTGACAGAATATTGACAATTTTGTTTGTCTGATTAGTTCCTCCATCGATTGGAGTCATGACTATCCCTCTCATGGCGTTGGGATCCGAAAGGCAAGTTACTAGCTTGTCTGACCAGTAAGTGTTGTTGTATTGGTATCGTCGGAGATTCGGAAACAGCATCAACATTGCACTCGAAGACGCAATACTTGTGAGTTTGGAGTATTGCTGCGACATTGCCAGACAAGTTTTACCTTTGCCTGACCAAAAGTATTCTAGCTTGGCTCGTTCTTGTTTTGTGAAGTTTCTTGCCTGTTTGGGATCCGTTGGAGATTCAATGATTGTCTTTGCAATGTATGCTGGTGCAAAGATATTGGCTAGCCATGTGCTTATATCGGAATTCAGATTGGTAGCAAGCGCCAAAGGGATGTCTCTTGGAACCTGGGGTTTTTCTTTCTTGAGCAGGTCTTTTCTCTGCTGGGCGTTCATGTGGTAAAGCATTGCTTGATAAATCAGGTCCGAAGAAGTTTGATGGAGCAACACTTCACTGTATTTGGGTAGATTCAAGATGGAATCGATACCCAAAGCTCCCATGCTAGCAAGGAGTCCTGTGACAGGTGCAGGAGCTTCCGAGAGTCCCGTGGTAGCGTATGTTTCTAGAAAGTTTGAATGAGACGATACTTTGAGTCGAGCGTCTGAAAATCGTCTAGGCTCCGTTGCACTCACTAACAGATGACGGCTTCCTAGACTCCCTCTGGCCAGGGGATCATAAGCAAAGATTGGACCAATCACTGATCCACCTTTGAATGAAACTTGTAGCTCTTGAAAGAGTATTGGCAAGATGATATCGCTCCCTAGAGACTTTTTGAACGTGCACCCTAGAACTTGAGCCCCTGGATCCTCGTCTGCTAGCTGAGCAAGCAGAGATGCGCCTGTCAATTGAACAACAGCTGTAGCGTCCGACTGTCCAGAGAGGTTTACTGTGCTCTTATAAAGCGAAGAAATCCTCTGATTGGGGTCGTCGAAGGCGAACTTTTCATTGATTGTATCCCGAAGCCGATCGAGAAGGGGGATCTGAATCAAAGGAATGTTAAGACCATCTGCACCTCCAATCTGGGTCGGCTGTAGCGTAATTCTTCCAAATGAAACAGGGTGAGAAGGCTTCTTTTTGTGCTTATCTTGCTCGCTCCAGATATCGGCATCAAGAATCATTTCTTGGACATCTGTCGAGTCCGATAGCAGTGATGTTGTCGTGGTGGCCAGCGCTTCAGTCGGCTTGACAGCGGGAGGCTTTGTGCTGACATGAACAGGATAAACGTGTTGTTTGTCGTGCATGACCAAAGGTGAGTCCTCTGGGCTCAAAAACACGGCTCCGGCTCCGGACAGCCCGTGATCAACTAGAGTAATACAGCCGTGCTCATAGCTGGAAGGACCAAGAGCTCGAGACCAAGAGATAATCTTTGTCTTGTAGTCGACATGAGAACGTGCCTCCACTTTGCCATTGACCAGTACGCTGCCTTCGAAAAGTCCTATGCTCGAAGCTATGTGCATCGGAGGGGATTGCCTAGGATCTGCAAGGTCTACGTGATAGGCTCGCACAACTTGGTCGAGTAGAATAGTCTTTACTGGATCTCGAGTGAAATGGGAATTGTGGGGGCCAGAACGCAGAGTCTGGATCTCGTGTCTTAATAGACGCGATGTGGCCGAATCTCCAAGAAGTTTGCGAATAGATTGTAATTCTTCGACGCGCTCTGATGCCTTAAGAAGATCGCGAATTGACAGTCCTGAGAGAGCTTCTGCAGTCTTTCTCATGTGGACATAATTCTGGTACCCTTCAATGAGGTAGCCATTCGCGTCCAGTGAGGTTGCTCCGGAGGTGAACCCGACAGCAACGATACCAGACTGACAAGGCTCAGAAGAGATGCTCGTGATTGGAACTCTTTCATACAAAGACCCCGACTTCGAATACTTGTACACAACATGGCCAATCTCGAGACGACCAATCTGTTTGCTGAAACCTGAAGCCAACCGCGCCTGGTACGGGTCCACCGCACGATAGCCAGTAGTGGTGAAGAAGATGGTTCCAGAACTGAAGAACGGCTTGCCGTCATCTGTGTACATGCATGAGCGCCTATACCTGTTGCACAATAGAACTACTCACTGAATCCAAACAGAATAAGGGAACCTCCTGGAGAGTCCTCTTCATGAGTACAGAGATATCCACGACTGGGATTAATGCCATGAATATCCCGTAGTTTCAAGTCTGGTCGTAACTTGCCGAGGGGTATGTCTCCTTCCGAGGTTGTAATCAGGGTCTCGGACGAAAGCCCTTGCCTGTTTGTTTGATCCATTGCAACTATTGTGAAGTTTTGGGGAAGAAATAGAGTGGCTAACCCTTAGCAGATCGAGTAAAGGACAAGCTGACACTTTATAGTGTACCTACGAAAGTCCCCACCGTGCCCGTAGTCCGAAGTATCACATCCAAAAATCTCAATAATGTCAGGTTTTCACAGTTGCGTTGTTTGTTCTAATGCTTCATCTAGCGCCTTGGAAGTCGCAGTCATTGTACATTTTGTTAAGACTCTCATTTCTCAGTACTATACGTACTTTGCGACGGGTTGGATAATTTTACGCGAGCGTCAAAGTCATCGAGTTCAGCCTGAGAGTTCCACTATCAGTAGACTATAAGAGGCTGGCTGACAAGACACAAAGTGTGATGGTGCTTGGTACGAGACATGCCTGATATGTTGGGGTTGGCAGGCCTTTACGAGCTCGAATCCTCAAGCCCAATTTACGTATGTAGTCGATCTTTGTGTTGCATCACTCGGCGTGCGACTCGAGTCTTGTGATGCTTTTTTGTTGGCCACTGGTGCTTCGGCCGTATCAAGTTATCTTGAGTGCTGCACCATGACTCCCATGTGGGAGCTGCGCATGTAAACCTGGCTTACTGGGCGGTTTATTGCTTGGACGAAGTCGTGTTTGGGGCTAGCTGATATGTGGGTGTTTTCGCGATTTGAATATGGTAAAGTTTTTGGCTGCCAGACAGTGTAAGATTCAAATACGGGTTTCAATGAACAGTTTATGCCGGGCTGAAGTGTTGAATACATTTAAGCTTTCTGCGGCAAGCCGATGCAAAGGGTATTAGAGCCAGCTGAGCTGAGCCCTGTGCCTAGACACGCGCGCCTTTATTAAGCAACGGTCTATGGCTAGCTGAAGTGTTTGATACGTTTCATATTTTGGCTGCAGCATGTCGGGTGTGGTTCAAAAGCTGAGCAGCCAGATGCGTATCGTAAATCTCTAGCGCCAATCACTATACGAGCCCAAGGCGCTCTCAGCTGGCAGCCTCCGCCACGACTTCGACACCAGCGCAACAGCATCTTGGTCACGGCGTTATTATGCTTCAGACAATAGCTGAATGCATCTGTCCATGGAAGATGTGTGGTTGCAAAGTGCCCCGGCTAAAGTTCCACGACTCCACCTTTGGCTAGGCCCTCAATAGGCGCGATGTGATGCTATACCTGAATCAGTCAATGGACGATTTGGCAGGTGTGAGATATCGGTCTTGTCATGTCGCGAATAATCTAACGGCTACGAACATCTGGCTAGAGGACCGACAGTCACAGCTGCCGCGACTAGACAGGCGGCGCAGAATTCGTGATCAGACCCCTGATATTTGATTCCCTTGTGAGTTGAGTAAACTCTACTAGGTTTCTTCCCAGGGTGAGAGATACTGAGCGTGAAATACATTCATTCTAAGAAGCCATCAAAGCAGCTATAAAAGGTAAGGCGATCCCGGATCACTTTGACCAAGTACTCTCGAATAGCACATGACTGTGGCATATACGACTAATGCACACCGATTCCGAATCCATTCATTTCGAAATTCCACACAATGACTAATTTGGTCGAGGTCCCCGTTGGCACCATTGCGGCTTACGCTGCTGATCCAAGCAATCTCCCAAGTAATTGGGTAAGTTGAATCGTCAATACATAGCTCTTTGCACTAACGTTCATTTCCAGGTTGTTTGTGACGGCGCAAGTTTCTCCACTGCCACATACCCAGACTTGTACAAAGCAATCGGCTGTGAGTACATGTTGCCAGCTTATACAATTGGGCATTTCTCTGACAGTTGTTTCGAATCCAGACGCCAACAATTCTGCTGGCAGTGGCAGTGATGTCATGAATATTCCCGACCTACGAGGTCGCTTTATTCGGGGTAGGTCATTGAGCTTAGTGAGGCTTATAATTGAGCTTTATTGCTGATATCAACCACAGGAGATGACAAGAAAGATTCTACATTGACTGCGGGTAACACGCACGATTGGCGAACAGGGCAGCCAAACACTGATATAAGAGTCACACTTGATTGCATAACAACTGAAATCCATTACACTTTAAAGATCTTAGGCAACAGATACATCTCTTGGAATGACGGCGCAACTTCATTTGAAGCCAACGGCGGCGATCAAGAGTCTCGACCAGTCAACACCTATCTCTTCTACATTATCAAGATTGCCAAACCAAGCATCGACAAAGCTCCAACAACACCATACAGCGATCTACCTCTAGCATCCGTCATTCCTTTCGGAGGCGGTGACCATGGCTATCCACCAAACTTTCCATCCTACATCAGGTGTGATGGATCTAGCGCCAGTATCACGTCTTTGCCAGACTTGTACAAGGTCTTGGGCACAAAATGGTCTTCTGATCCAGCTCCTAATCCGAGCAATCTCGTCTCTCCAGATCTATCAGGCAAATTCATTCGTGGAGTCGACCCGATTGGCAAGTATGACATTGATAATGGTACTCGCAATCCAGCGCCTGATGGCTCAGGACAAGGTCTGGGTACCTGGCAAGGCTATTCAACGGCTATCCACAAGCCCTATGTTAGAATTGAGCACTTTTCGGACCTTTCTGAGCAGTCCATTCATGTTGTGGGAGATGATGTCATTCATGATGCCAATTCCTCCAGCAATCAGAGCTGGTCTGGCGGAGACAGCGAAACACGACCAAAGAATGCAGCTGTGCATTTCTACCTGAGTTCTGTTCCTCCGGCGACATTTCGACAAGACTTCCCAGTCGGAGGAATCATTGCTATTCCAGGCAACCCAGGAAATAATCTCGATCAGGCAACCTGGGCACCATGCGATGGCAGCAAGTACAATCGCAGGGTTTATTCGGCCTTGTTCGCGGCGATTGGAACAACTTGGGGTTCACCGGGTGACGGTGACCAGTGGTTCAATGTTCCCGATCTCAATGGACAATACTTACGTGGAGCCGATCTTCACGGCAACCCAGGCGGAGACCCTGATCGAGGCAGTCGCTTTGCCAGTTTACCTGGAGGGAGTAGTTCCGGGGCTGGATCATATCAGAATTATGCTACCGGCATGCCACGCAAACCTCTAAACATCGGCATCTCTTACCCAAACGACGTTGAGATGACTAGCAAGGCGACTAGCAAAGGGACTAATCTTACTGCTGGCGAACCTAGAAAGCAGTCATTGCCGTTGACAAACTGGGGAGACAACGAGAGTGCTCCAAGAAGTGTGGTTGTCAAGTATTTTATTCGTGCGCTCTGAGTTGTTTGCATATCGCTTCAATGTACTTGACCTCTGAGTCATATGCCACCATCAATGATTCAAGTGGCAAACTGCAGATCAATTCCGAATAGAGTAATTTAGGACAATGCATCTCTCGCGAAGAAGAAAGCAGTCAGCACTAGTGTACTTGAGATGTGTCGTTTCCAGGTATTTATAAGACGTTATGCTACGCTGTCAAGTTTTACCCGAGCATTAAAGCTGCTCCATAACTTAATGGATAGACAAATAATACACATAATTCTCAACCTGGTCACCAAGGCACTGTCACCACCTTCATACCTATCTATTTACCATGGAAGACTCCACCGACAATAGCACTCCCAATAGGGGCTCAAATCTCACTTTTCGTGAAATTACCGAGGACAATTGGCGAGCTGTCGCAAATCTTGGCCTCAAGGACGGGCAAACTGGCAACCTTGCATCCAACGTATGGTCTCTCTGCGAAGCTCATTATTCGGAAGACGCATGGGTACGAGCCATCTATGCCGGCGAGACACTTGTCGGCATGCTCATGATGGCAATATGGGACCCTAAAGAGGCATACTACATTTGGCGATTCATGATCGATGGCCGTTATCAGAGCCTAGGGTACGGCCGACGAGGCGTAGAGTTTGCGATTGCGCACATACGACAGCACAATCCTCAAGCAAAGCAGTTGGGGGTCATGTCAACGCCGCCCGAAGGGAAGACGGACGCGGATCCAAAACAGAGTGTAAAGTCTGAAGATTCGCCTTATAAGTTTTATCAGAAACTTGGGTTCAGGCAGGTCGCACCGCCAGACGAGGATGGGGAAATTATGATGATGCTAGACTTATAAACAGTTCAAAATTTTCACCACTTCTATGTCCATATCACCCTTCTTCTTCTTCTTCTTCTTTTTGTTCATATGTGTATATATGAATATGTGGATCAAACGCATCTAATAAACACCATATGGTTGATTCCAGGTTTATATTTCTTTCGATCAGAAAAGAAAAACAAAGTAATAGATTAATATGTGTTTTTTACTCAATTTGTGGGATCTTTAATCAACGGCCCCCAGTTTCCCGCCGTGATTCATTGGCTGATGGGCTGTGGCGGGGTGCCAAAACCGCCTACTTTGGAGCCGACAATTCTGATGGCCTCAATATCCTCATAGGACGGCAGTGGGCCTGTGTACGGGTGGCTGGTGTCCCAATGGACGCTTTCTCCCCACTTGACTGCGTCATCAAGGTGGTCGCGAACTTTTCTGAAGTAGCTGAATCCCGAATATGCGGAATCCAGTGTAACCTTTGACAGGATCACTAGTATCGTCTCATGGGAGCTCTCTAACCACAGTCGTGGTTTTAAGAGCGTCATGAGTACATTTGGGAAGGATTTGGCTGAGTTGTTGTCATTCCATGCTCGTAGTAGGACCTCGGCATTGGGGTGATGTCGCAAGAGCTCCTGTCGAGCTCTACTTGTCATCTTGTCGTCGATGCTTAAGATCGAACGTGGATGAAGGATGAATGATTGCTAATCGTGGTGAGAAAGCTTCAATAGACAGCCCTGGGTGATGATGGAAAGCGGAAAACTGATGGTCGAATGATTAATTCAGTGTGCAGGATTTGCTTATTTTCAATGGTGTGCAAACGGCGCTCACAGCAACCTTAGCATATTTCCTCCCCAAGAAACTGTGGTACCCGCACTTGAACGCAAACGAGACGACAATAATACCAACAACACTAATGATCAGATGGCGGGGTTTCGTTTTTTTTTTTTTCCAACAAGTGCCTAACATAGGCCGTGTAAGTATTATATCCATGTAAAGACATTTCAACCCACTACTGGGACTTTTTTTTTTTTTTT